TATAACGGGGCCCCGAATTCATAAAGGCAAAAGGGCATTTTGTACATTTGACCCTCCACTATAAATGCAACCCCCTTAGTGTAAAAAATATCATTTTTGGTCTAAAGAAAGAGCAGAACACGTTCATGGAGAGAAAGTGAAGAAAAAAAAATCTAGATTCTTCAAGTTTCAAGCCACCAAAACACATTTCTAAGTCAAGATTCTTGCAAGACTTCCTTCTAAAAAGTTGTTCCTCTCAACAAGGACTATATTCTCACAGATCAGTTCAGCTGCACAGTGAACACAACTCCCTCAGATTGAGAAAAATTATTTTAGGTATGATATTTTACTAAGTTATGAATAGATTTAAGTTTCTTTACCTTTCTATGTGTTGATTGAATGATTTGGGTGTTTACTTAATATTAGAAAATTACTTAGATGGTAGTTGCTTTGAAAACTTAGAGTTGGTAGTTTATGTACTTTTGTGTTCCTTGAGTTTCTTGACAATTTGTTACTATGATAAAAGTATACATTGTATATGTGTTGGATTATTATATTCTAACTTATATTCATGTAGAGAAACTCTTATTTTTTATGAGTTATGATTTATTCCATGAGTTGGTAGTTTGTGTATTTGTATTTTCTTTGAGAAATTGTGAAAGTAATGAACATGAAACTTGATCATATGTTTAATTCATTGAATTGTGTCTCACATTCATGAAGACAAAGTGTTGTAAATTTGAAGTTATGTTTTACTCTATGAATGAGACATATTTTAAGTTATACGTCATGTGTTAATGAAATGTTCAATAGAATTTACATTGAGAAAAAACTAGATATATTGACATACATGAATCCTTGGAAACATGGCGTGGGTTGAATACTTGGTGCAATGCATTATGATGGTATAGATCCTGTGGTGAAAATGGTGAGTGGATTATGAAGGTGAATCATTTTCCCTCACTCCCTAGGTTTGTGGAAATTCAGGGCGTGACACTTTAAGGTGGCAGACACTCTGGCTAGCCAATTTGGTGAGTTTGTTGCTTGATTGGACCAATGGTAGAAGAGAGAGAGAGGGTTACGGCGATTGCAGCACCGTTCGGACGCCACCACCACCATCCGGACAGTAACATTCCTCTGGATTTTGCAACCTTGGCAGCTCCTGCGTTTGATGTTTTAGTTTGGTAATTTCACTTGCCTCCCTTTCCTTATTCAGCTTGCACAGTTTAATCCTCTTGAATCTCTGTATTTTCGCACGAATCTTTGCAAAATATCTAATTTACGCATTAACTCTAATACTCTTTAACTTAATCATTTTAACCTAATTTACGCACACAATTAATTTTATAACCTAATTTATTCACGCATTATTTAGGGTTAATCAATATATAATTTTTGAGATTATATTACAACTTTTAGGGTATGTTTGATTTAGGTATTAAGAGGGTAGATTGGATTAATTTAATCCAGTAATAATATAATAATAAGCTGGGAGAATTACATTCAGACTCTTTAAGGTTTGTCACTTAATCACTCAGACCCACTAGTATTTGAAATATTCCACAAAGAACCCTGTGGTTTGTACGCGTGTAATATTTAGACCTCTGCCGTCAAAATGTTTGTTATTATCTGTTAATAAATTACACTCAGACCCTTTGAAGTTTAAAATATTATACTTAGACAAAAAATAACTCCAAGTAAAGATAAAATATCAAATATTTTAAATTTTATAACCAAAATTCATGTTCTATTGTATCATTTATTGAAATAAAAAAAATAAAAAATTAATTTTTTCTTAAAAAATCTTAATTAGTATACAATTATAATATCCATTAGAATAAAACTAAACAAATCAAACAAGGTTCTAAGTCATTCATAATAGAACATGAAGTTTACAACCAAAATTCATGTTCTATTATGTCATTTATTGAAATAAAATTAAAAATAAAATTTTAATTTAAAAAAAATTATAATTAGTATACAATTATACTATCTATTAAAATTTAATTTAGTTGTTTAAACGACCAAATTTTTCCAATTAAAGTTATAATATATTGTATTCATTACAGTTTGACCTTTTGTTTATTTTTTTTAATTTTATTCTAATAGATAGTATAATTTTATAATAATAATAATTTTTTAAGAAAAATTAAATTTTTAATTTTATTTTTATTTTAATAAATTTCATAATATAACATAAATTTTGGTTATAAAATTTGAAATATTTGATTTTTTTATCTTTGCTTGGTGTATTTTTTATCTAAGTATAACATTTTAAACTTGAGGGATCTAACTATTACAAGCCTACAAATTTCAAGGGGTTTGAATGTAATTTACGAACGGATATACTAACGGGCATTGATGGCAGAGATCTAAGAGTTACACGCGTACAAACCTCAGGAGGTCTGTATGTAATATTTTAAATGTCAATAGATCTAAATGATTAAGTGACAAATCTCAGAAACTCTTGGATGAGGTTATAGCGACCTGATATTAATTTTAATTAATTCAGACCTAGTTTATTATTGTCATTTAACACCTAATATTAGGTAGTAATTAATATTATGCAGCAGGTGGCATTATATATAACACTTTAAGTATTAAAAATGTAATAATTTTATTATCCTTTCAAATTTAGAGTCACATATTCATATAAAAGTTATACATTATGCAAATTCTTACGCTCAATCTCAATATTAATTTTTTTTATTTTTAATTTAATATCATATACTATTACTTAATTCAAAACATAAATTTGGTATTATATTTATAGATTTATATATCTTCCAAACATTGATCTAAACTTGTTATAGAAGGATAAGATTAAATAGTACTATTGTTAACACCATCTTATAGATTGGATAGGAACTAATTACACAATCTCATCATTTTATATTTGAACCAAACATGTCCTTATGATTCAAGTTACAACTCTTGTAAGTCATTTGAAATCGATCTTAAAAAATTTAGAATCATCAATCACAAGTAACTTCAAAAATTATAAATGATCCTTAAATATGGTACACGATCCTCAAAACTTTTAAATAGCCCTAAAAAATTATAAATAATTCTTAAAAATTATAAAAATAAATCATAAAATCTATAATAAAGGTACAGTACACAAAAAAAAAGTCCACCAAGTTAAAATTACTTTCCAGTTCATATGATTATAACGTGGAAAACTTTATCTACTGCTGAGCATAATCCTTTGGTCCCCAAAAAAGTGGCTGACAATAATACTTTATTTTCTTTTCTTTTTTTGGTGTTTTAGTCGAGAATATCCAACAAGCTTATTGGATATAATTGCTAGAAGTGACTATTGATAAAAGAACTACATATATTGTAAATTAGATCCAAACTTCCACCATTCCAAAAATTTCACAACAGAAATTGGTGAAAAAGAAGAAACCGAGCCAAAATTCTCCCCAAATCGGAATGGTAGAAGTCTTGTACATTGAGTTTTTTATTTTTCCCATTCATTGTATCTACAAGGATTATGGATAGAGTTGTCAATTTTTGACACGACACATTAACACAATATAAATTGAACACGAAATTAATGGGTCGGAAATGAAATTAAATAAGTCAATGGGTTAAAACAGGTCAATACGCTTAAACACGAAAAAAATCATGTCGGATTCATGTCAAAATCAGGTCAACCCAATTTTGACCTGATTAACCTGTATATTTTAAATGGATTTACATGATTCGAACACGAACTCGACCTAACCCATTGTAGACTCGTTTAACCCATTTATGACAATATAGTTTGTCTATTATATGACTGGTGTGGTCTTAACATTATTACTTATTAGTTCTTATTTTTATTTATAGTAATTGACAATATAGTTCTTAACATTATTATGACAGTATAATAGTATAGTTCTTGCTTTAGTTTTTGGATAGAAACTTAAACGTAATTTAGTTAATTTCATTGATAAAATGGGATATGTTTTTTTGTGAAAAAATTATTTAAAATTTTAGATGAATGATTGAATGGTATATTTAATAGTAATAAACAAGTGTGAAAACATATTATGTGTTAAACAGGTTAAACAGATCATATTATGTGTGTTAACCCGAAAACAACATATTTATTAAACGTGTCAAACAGGTCGGGTTTAAGTAACTCATTTAATGGCTAGATTATGTTAGTGTTTACACATCTCGACACGATTATTAAACATGTCAGGTTTGGGTTTTGAGATTTTCAACACAAACTCGAAATTAACCCGACACGAATTAACCCAACCCGATATGTTTGACACCCCTAATTATGGATACATATGGACTCTACCCCAGAATTGCAGCCATACAAGTTGGTGGTATCCTTTTTTTTTATTATTAATATTATTATTATAAAACAAATTTGAACCAATGAGCCCCACTCTCTCGATGTAAAATTAATCTCGGTAGTAGCCCTTAGAGAGAGTCTTTCACAACAGACAGGCCGGGAGTTCAAATTTTGACGGGTCAACGGGCAGTGCACGGGCCAGGCCTACTTGAAAGGTTGTCTTCATAGGACTTAAACTGCCAATCTGTCTAACGCACACAGTCCAAACACATGGTCGTGAACCTCTACGTGATGGGCTGTGCTGACCTATACCACGATGGTCTGCTGAGCTTTCGGGTTGGCGTATGAACCACTGTAATTAGCCTTCCAGATTTGAGGCTAACAATAAGCATAAAAAGGTATCAGGTCCCTTCTGATTAAAGGCAACTCTATATATCTTATGAAAACTGAAGTGAACAACAGTTGCAAGGTATAACAAATATACTGATAAACTAAAAATAAGTAACAATAGGTAGAAAGGGAACAAAATCTCCCATTGATAATTTTAATTACCCACACAAAGCCCTCTCTATGATGGGGCTTTTGCACCATAAATTTTGCAGAAATTTTGATATTCTGAAGTGGACCGCTGTTGGTGAGCATTTCCAGTGCCTATGAATTCCATCTACTTGAGTTAGTCGGTTCAATTGCTGGGTTGGCAATCTTTTTTCCCCATAGGAATCAATCATTATTTGTGCTTTGAAGCTGGTTCAGATGCCACTGGGGTTGTGCTTTTGATTGGCATGTCATGGTTATGTTTTCCTTCGTATGTTGTGATAAAGGCTTTTGGGTCATCTGATGCTCTTTCGACATGCTTGCGCACATTGCACTTGAGGCTGGTGCATCTGTAGTAACTTCTGCATGACCAAGAAAAAATAGGGGGTAAGAATACATGAGAGAGAGAGAGAGAGAGGGGGGGGCACACAAAGCCAATAGAGAACTGTCATACTCCATGATATTACTAATACTAACCGTACAACAGTGATTTTTTACTTATAATACCGGTTTCATTTCCATTTTCAACGATGATCAATATAGAGACAAAAAATAATAATATTATCAAGGAGTAGTTTTAAAGCCAACAGTCAACATATTAATGAGAAATTACACTGAAGTGATGATTCCCATGGAGTTTCCGAGTAACACTTGGCTTTCTTCTAGTTTGGCCTGAACTTATAGGTGCCAAAAATATTTGACCACCCTTTTAAGACATTGTTGAGAATTGTGGGTTCATAAGGAGCAATAAAGTGGTAAGAGGCCAATATCTCATGAAAAGTTGGAGGAGACGATAACGGTTTGTTAGTTGATAACATCAAAGAAGGTCACTGTCATTTCAATAAGTTAGAAATGATTGTTCTTTTTAGACTCAGAAATGTAAGATAAGGAAACCAAGCACAAATGCAATTTCATCTTTTGTAAATGTTGAAGATAGATGGACCAACAACATCGGGGATAGCAAAGCACAAGACTTTAGGACCAATTTTCAGAAAGAAAAAAAAAAAAACCTTGATGAAAAAGGCTAAAGCCTTTGTACTTTCTAAGAAAATATGAACGCAAATTACATAATTTTGATGTTGTATGATGAATACACCGCCAGCTACCATGTATGCTTTAGCAAGTTAGTATTAACCTGGGATATGGATTTCCCTTCACAACTTTCTGTCCATATTTTCTCCAGCGAAAGCCATCCCCTGTGATCTCAGAATCAGCCGAATTTTGCACCACAATGCATGGATCTTGCACACCATCCTGCGATATGCCTGTTTCATGGGATTGATTTTCGTTTTTCCTTGCAGAAAAAGGGCATAAGTCAACAATACTCCAATATAAGATCGTTTAAAAGAAGGTTTAAACTATTAAAAATGTAACTCAAAACTTAATCTCAAGCATAAGAAATATGTGAATAGATTGTTTTAAATATCATTCAATGTATCAGCTCCAATGGTTTGTGATAGTTTATATAGCAAAANATCAATCACAAGTAACTTCAAAAATTATAAATGATCCTTAAATATGGTACACGATCCTCAAAACTTCTAAATAGCCCTAAAAAATTATAAATAATTCTTAAAAATTATAAAAATAAATCATAAAATCTATAATAAAGGTACAGTACACAAAAAAAAAGNTTCTAAATAGCCCTAAAAAATTATAAATAATTCTTAAAAATTATAAAAATAAATCATAAAATCTATAATAAAGGTACAGTACACAAAAAAAAGGTCCACCAAGTTAAAATTACTTTCCAGTTCATATGATTATAACGTGGAAAACTTTATCTACTGCTGAGCATAATCCTTTGGTCCCCAAAAAAGTGGCTGACAATAATACTTTCTTTTCTTTTCTTTTTTTGGTGTTTTAGTCGAGAATATCCAACAAGCTTATTGGATATAATTGCTAGAAGTGACTATTGATAAAAGAACTACATATATTGTAAATTAGATCCAAACTTCCACCATTCCAAAAATTTCACAACAGAAATTGGTGAAAAAGAAGAAACCGAGCCAAAATTCTCCCCAAATCGGAATGGTAGAAGTCTTGTACATTGAGTTTTTTATTTTTCCCATTCATTGTATCTACAAGGATTATGGATAGAGTTGTCAATTTTTGACACGACACATTAACACAATATAAATTGAACACGAAATTAATGGGTCGGAAATGAAATTAAATAAGTCAATGGGTTAAAACAGGTCAATACGCTTAAACACGAAAAAAATCATGTCGGATTCATGTCAAAATCAGGTCAACCCAATTTTGACCTNTTTTTGACACGACACATTAACACAATATAAATTGAACACGAAATTAATGGGTCGGACATGAAATTAAATGAGTCAATGGATTAAAACAAGTCAACACGCTTAAACACGAAAAAAAGCATGTCGGATTCATGTCAAAATCAGGTCAACCCGATTTTGACCTGATTAACCTGTATATTTTAAATGGATTTACATGATTCGAACACGAACTCGACCTAACCCATTGTAGACTCGTTTAACCCATTTATGACAATATAGTTTGCCTATTATATGACTGGTGTGGTCTTAACATTATTACTTATTAGTTCTTACTTTTATTTAGTAATTGACAATATAGTTCTTAACATTATTATGACAGTATAATAGTATAGTTCTTGCTTTAATNGAACTCGACCTAACCCATTGTAGACTCGTTTAACCCATTTATGACAATATAGTTTGTCTATTATATGACTGGTGTGGTCTTAACATTATTACTTATTAGTTCTTATTTTTATTTATAGTAATTGACAATATAGTTCTTAACATTATTATGACAGTATAATAGTATAGTTCTTGCTTTAGTTTTTGGATAGAAACTTAAACGTAATTTAGTTAATTTCATTGATAAAATGGGATATGTTTTTTTGTGAAAAAATTATTTAAAATTTTAGATGAATGATTGAATGGTATATTTAATAGTAATAAACAAGTGTGAAAACATATTATGTGTTAAACAGGTTAAACAGATCATATTATGTGTGTTAACCCGAAAACAACATATTTATTAAACGTGTCAAACAGGTCGGGTTTAAGTAACTCATTTAATGGCTAGATTAGGNTTTTTGTGAAAAAATTATTTAAAATTTTAGATGAATGATTGAATGGTATATTTAATGGTAATAAACAAGTGTGAAAACATATTATGTGTTAAATATGTTAAACAGATCATATTATGTGTGTTAACCCGAAAACAACATGTTTATTAAACGTGTCAAACAGGTCGGGTTTATGTAACTCATTTAATGGCTAGGTCATGNATATTATGTGTGTTAACCCGAAAACAACATATTTATTAAACGTGTCAAACAGGTCGGGTTTAAGTAACTCATTTAATGGCTAGATTAGGTTAGTGTTTACACATCTCGACACGATTATTAAACATGTCAGGTTTGGGTTTTGAGATTTTCAACACAAACTCGAAATTAACCCGACACGAATTAACCCAACCCGATATGTTTGACACCCCTAATTATGGATACATATGGACTCTACCCCAGAATTGCAGCCATACAAGTTGGTGGTATCCTTTTTTTTTATTATTAATATTATTATTATAAAACAAATTTGAACCAATGAGCCCCACTCTCTCGATGTAAAATTAATCTCGGTAGTAGCCCTTAGAGAGAGTCTTTCACAACAGACAGGCCGGGAGTTCAAATTTTGACGGGTCAACGGGCAGTGCACGGGCCAGGCCTACTTGAAAGGTTGTCTTCATAGGACTTAAACTGCCAATCTGTCTAACGCACACAGTCCAAACACATGGTCGTGAACCTCTACGTGATGGGCTGTGCTGACCTATACCACGATGGTCTGCTGAGCTTTCGGGTTGGCGTATGAACCACTGTAATTAGCCTTCCAGATTTGAGGCTAACAATAAGCATAAAAAGGTATCAGGTCCCTTCTGATTAAAGGCAACTCTATATATCTTATGAAAACTGAAGTGAACAACAGTTGCAAGGTATAACAAATATACTGATAAACTAAAAATAAGTAACAATAGGTAGAAAGGGAACAAAATCTCCCATTGATAATTTTAATTACCCACACAAAGCCCTCTCTATGATGAGGCTTTTGCACCATAAATTTTGCAGAAATTTTGATATTCTGAAGTGGACCGCTGTTGGTGAGCATTTCCAGTGCCTATGAATTCCATCTACTTGAGTTAGTCGGTTCAATTGCTGGGTTGGCAATCTTTTTTCCCCATAGGAATCAATCATTATTTGTGCTTTGAAGCTGGTTCAGATGCCACTGGGGTTGTGCTTTTGATTGGCATGTCATGGTTATGTTTTCCTTCGTATGTTGTGATAAAGGCTTTTGGGTCATCTGATGCTCTTTCGACATGCTTGCGCACATTGCACTTGAGGCTGGTGCATCTGTAGTAACTTCTGCATGACCAAGAAAAAATAGGGGGTAAGGATACATGAGAGAGAGAGAGAGAGAGAGAGGGGGGGGCACACAAAGCCAATAGAGAACTGTCATACTCCATGATATTACTAATACTAACCATACAACAGTGATTTTTTACTTATAATACCGGTTTCATTTCCATTTTCAACGATGATCAATATAGAGACAAAAAATAATAATATTATCAAGGAGTAGTTTTAAAGCCAACAGTCAACATATTAATGAGAAATTACACTGAAGTGATGATTCCCATGGAGTTTCCGAGTAACACTTGGCTTTCTTCTAGTTTGGCCTGAACTTATAGGTGCCAAAAATATTTGACCACCCTTTTAAGACATTGTTGAGAATTGTGGGTTCATAAGGAGCAATAAAGTGGTAAGAGGCCAATATCTCATGAAAAGTTGGAGGAGACGATAACGGTTTGTTAGTTGATAACATCAAAGAAGGTCACTGTCATTTCAATAAGTTAGAAATGATTGTTCTTTTTAGACTCAGAAATGTAAGATAAGGAAACCAAGCACAAATGCAATTTCATCTTTTGTAAATGTTGAAGATAGATGGACCAACAACATCGGGGATAGCAAAGCACAAGACTTTAGGACCAATTTTCAGAAAGAAAAAAAAAAAAACCTTGATGAAAAAGGCTAAAGCCTTTGTACTTTCTAAGAAAATATGAACGCAAATTACATAATTTTGATGTTGTATGATGAATACACCGCCAGCTACCATGTATGCTTTAGCAAGTTAGTATTAACCTGGGATATGGATTTCCCTTCACAACTTTCTGTCCATATTTTCTCCAGCGAAAGCCATCCCCTGTGATCTCAGAATCAGCCGAATTTTGCACCACAATGCATGGATCTTGCACACCATCCTGCGATATGCCTGTTTCATGGGATTGATTTTCGTTTTTCCTTGCAGAAAAAGGGCATAAGTCAACAATACTCCAATATAAGATCGTTTAAAAGAAGGTTTAAACTATTAAAAATGTAACTCAAAACTTAATCTCAAGCATAAGAAATATGTGAATAGATTGTTTTAAATATCATTCAATGTATCAGCTCCAATGGTTTGTGATAGTTTATATAGCAAAAGGACCCCTTCCCCTCACAGGAATAAGAATTGCAGAAGTTAAAAAAACATGAAAGAGAAAAAGGAAGGTAAAAAACATGCACAAGCTTTAATTACAAAACAGAGTATATTACCAGCTATTAGAAGTTAATATCATACCTTCTCTTCCTTTTGGGTTCAGCATCCTCTGCTTCTATTCCCTTGCTTCCTTGCTCACAATCACTACTCAGACCACAAGAGTTATCAGGAGCTGGTATACCAGCTTTGAATGTTCCAGCTGTAGCAAGATCACATAATAAGGCTTTGTCTGGAGAGGTTGAATTGACAGATGATCCTTTGCCTTGAGAACCTTCAATCCTCTCACTGAGTTGTTTACTACGAAATGGGTTATCTGTATCTTGACCAGTGCCATCAAATACAAATGCTTGCCCTTGTCCTCCTGATGTGTTGTGCTTAAGATGCTGAGGCTTCGAATGGTTGTGCTCACACTTGTAAACAATCTCTGTTATCTGTCCATCCAGTGATCGTTCAACCTTCTTTTTCACTGGACAGTTGGGGTGTGTGCATTTGTAGTAACTTCGAGGAAACTCGCTACCCTTAACTTGCTTTTGTCCATATTTCCTCCAATTATATCCATCATGAGAAGGCCGAACCCCATTATTTGGGGGGTGTGAAGACTTTTGATCCTCTTCCGAGTTCTCTGATGCCATGGTTGAGGCCTCAACTGCTTTCTTTGTTTCTAACTGTGATTCTGAATCCTGATGGAGATTCAAGCTAAGGTTAGATTTCAAATGGTGTTTGACTTCGTTAGGAGATTGAACGTAGGCCTCAACCTGGGACAATGTTTGTTGGTGACGAATATTAGTGTTTACCTGGACAAAACAGAACAGTGGCATCCGTATCTCAATATCTAGGCCCTTGAAGTTTACAGATAGATTAAAAAGCAAATTTTTTTTTTTTTTTTGCGGGGATTATAGAAAGCAGAGAAATACATTATAAATCTCCATTCCCAGACTGCCATTATGATGTGAGAACAGTAATAGTATGTAAAATACAGGAANTCCCTTGCTTCCTTGCTCACAATCACTACTCAGACCACAAGAGTTATCAGGAGCTGGTATACCAGCTTTGAATGTTCCAGCTGTAGCAAGATCACATAATAAGGCTTTGTCTGGAGAGGTTGAATTGACAGATGATCCTTTGCCTTGAGAACCTTCAATCCTCTCACTGAGTTGTTTACTACGAAATGGGTTATCTGTATCTTGACCGGTGCCATCAAATACAAATGCTTGCCCTTGTCCTCCTGATGTGTTGTGCTTAAGATGCTGAGGCTTCGAATGGTTGTGCTCACACTTGTAAACAATCTCTGTTATCTGTCCATCCAGTGATCGTTCAACCTTCTTTTTCACTGGACAGTTGGGATGTGTGCATTTGTAGTAACTTCGAGGAAACTCGCTACCCTTAACTTGCTTTTGTCCATATTTCCTCCAATTATATCCATCATGAGAAGGCCGAACCCCATTATTTGGGGGGTGTGAAGACTTTTGATCCTCTTCCGAGTTCTCTGATGCCATGGTTGAGGCCTCAACTGCTTTCTTTGTTTCTAACTGTGATTCTGAATCCTGATGGAGATTCAAGCTAAGGTTAGATTTCAAATGGTGTTTGACTTCGTTAGGAGATTGAACGTAGGCCTCAACCTGGGACAATGTTTGTTGGTGACGAATATTAGTGTTTACCTGGACAAAACAGAACAGTGGCATCCGTATCTCAATATCTAGGCCCTTGAAGTTTACAGATAGATTAAAAAGCAAATTTTTTTTTTTTTGCGGGGATTATAGAAAGCGGAGAAATACATTATAAATCTCCATTCCCAGACTGCCATTATGATGTGAGAACAGTAATAGTATGTAAAATACAGGTACTGACCAAATTTGCAAGGAGAGAAACAGTAGTCTTTGAGACAACTTTCGCACGGGGTTTGTAGACCACAGTGGATTTGCTCTCTAATTTTTGGACCTGGTCAGATGAATTAACTATCGCAGCTCCAGATATGCCATTCTGAAAACATTGAACACCATGATAGTAAAGGGAAAAAAATCTCCTAGAAAGAAAAGGGCATCCCAAATGAGAAGTCAATGAATGAAGTGGTCACCTGGGAAGAAATCACCCCGACTGGAGGAAGATTTGCCACTGGCTTTAACCTCACTGTTTTTGGTTTGATTGCAGTGACTGCTGCATCAGGACATGTGTTAGAGGGTGATGCGCTGATGGCACCTGCAAGGAGCTGTGAGAAGGACCTAAAACTGGAATAAGTAGGCTTTGAAGCAACTGGTTTGGCTATAACAATCCTCTCTGCGTCTTTCACCTCCATCTTCAATGAACATAGAAATGTCTAGTCAGTCTTTTGGCATATGATATGTCACTGGAAGTTGGAGACGAACTTGGAAATTCAATTCTCATTGAATCCATCTATTTCAGACTAATACGTCTAGATATCAAAAAAAAAAAAAAAGTTGCAATGGGAACATGCGATATCAAATGGTGATCAATTTCTTTCGTATGTTAACTCCAGACAATCAAACCGCAAAATTCATTTTCTCAAACCTAACTCATTCAGTTATCATGTCACTAAACCAAAAAAATAGTAAAGAATACAATCATGGACACGACATCAGAAGAGGTAAGTTGTCCTATCATAAAGAAACTATTTTCCAATCGGACCAGCTTATGCAGTTGATATGTCAATCAATTTCACATTTATTATTCATCCTGCCTTTTGAACATAATTAAAATTTTAAGCATGCTTCTAAACATAATCTATATCTCTGCAATTTCAATCATAGAAGTTATTTTGAGCTGAAGGACTACTCTAACAAATTTCAACAGTTAACGACACCACTTCTCTTACAAACGTAAAACAGTAAAAGATGTTCTTTCGGTTGACTTCTACTATAATATTTCCTTAACTTTGTAAAATTTTCTCAAAGTCATAGGGTTGGAAATATATTGAAGGCCAGTAAATCATAACTCAGGTGAGAATGCCACTATATAAAGCAAATGATAAAATCACATTTGAGTCTGCAAGAATTGTGGAATCTAGTCCTCTTACAAACCATTCCCACTCCCTTTACAGTTTTCTCCCTAGCCGAAAATATAAATTTTCCTTTTCGTTTGAGGTAGCATCAACCTGTAGACACAACTTGCTGCCATCCTCCAATGTTTGTTACTTGAAATTTATTTGCTTATGGCCATCATCACTCAATGAGTGTTAACTATAATAACAACACTTATCCATTTACAACTCCATTATAAGCCAACTTTCCATTGCAACTACAAGTTTAGAAGAACTCTGATTTCTTTAAAAACCTGATGCCATTTTCCCTTAAATTGCTCTTACTGCTCATTAGATTGTTAGGAAATATGCCCCTTAACACAACTTACGATGATGCACTTTTTAGTTGTGCAAAGACAAGCCCCAAACGATCTCATCGTGTTGTGAAATTTTGGACCCCATCAGCCTCTGATAATGAAATTAACAACACTCCCAAACTAAAAAGAAAATATTTTAATTGCCACAAACTAAGAATCTTTTATATATTTAGGATTGTCATATCAAAAGCAAGCGCGATTTTGCACCAATCATTTCATTAAAGAACAAGCCAGGAGAAGATCCTGGGAACCAATACATGTTTACAAAATAAGAATTGAATCTTTGTTCATGGGCATAATATTATGATGCCTAAAACCGTTCCATTTTGAAGAAAGTACATGTTCCTAAAAGAAAATTCTGAATTAAGGACAGAAGTGTCGGATAAGATTGGATCAGGAAGTTGTGAGAAATTAAAACAAAACCAAACAAGTAAATCACCCAAACACCATCATACATCTGATCCAAGTATGTTCATTCGCAAGCATTCCAAAGAAGAGAAAAAGAAAGAGAGATGGGAGTTGAAAACTAACCAGAATAGTAACTGACGACAGACTATGAAATTTGATTTTTCTTCGGTTCAATCTTCACAGATTTGTCATTTTATAGCACATTCAACACTACCTGCATTCAATAACCCAGATTTTAATAAGACCAAAAATAAATAAAGTTCCAAAATTTATATATTTATACGGATAAATACATCAACACATGGCATGGAAACAGCACTAGACCCCAGAAACATGCTAGATAGAAAAGTTTACATTTGATTGTGTTTTTTTTAGTCAAAACAAAGTCAAGACAGAAAAAGTTTACCCTGCTAACACCAGAATTATTAAGGTTCCCAGCAGTGCCCCTTTTTGGAACTGCGCAACGTAGAGAGAGAGAGAGAGAGAGAGAGAGAGAGAGAGATGACACAGTACACAGAAGTAAGAAGAAGATAATGAAATCTGGATAACTGTAGTTTTGTGTAAATTTTGAGAGAAAATGTTAGATTAGAATAGAAATATCCAGAGATGGGTATCTTTTGACTTGAAATCATGGTTTTTTTGGGTGATTAAAGGTGGGCGGGAGTGGGTGGGGACTAAAAGGTCACGAAGCCAATGGTCCATTAGCACGGCCAACTACCACTCTCTTTTGCTCTTTGACTATCTGTTATCTGTTATAATAATACGTGAATTTAAAAAATAAATTTAAAAATTAAATTTGATAATCTTAACCATTAATTTTATTATGAGTCTCAGTATTTATTAAAAATTCACTACCTATTCAATGATTGAGATTCAAGTCTAATTTTTAAGTTTAGTTTTTAAATCCATCTAACATTACTCTATAAATATTATCAACTAGAGTCCAGCATGAAATATATTTTTAATTTATTTTTTTTTTCTTTTTCTTGTTATTATTTAAGAATGTAATTGGAGGAACACTTAATAGAATAATTATTATTTATTTTATATAAATAGAAAGATGTCTCACTCAAATTTAATGGCATGCCATTGGAAAAACTGTCTATAATTAATTCTTTGTCGGGAATGAGAATACCCGATTTTTTTTTTAATAATATTTTTTTTTTTAAAATCTGTTGATGATATTAAATTTTTAAAATGTATATTTATAGTAGGATTAGTGCTAAATGAATAGAGTCCATGATCATTCTAATAACCAAGGATTAAAATTTTATTTCGATAACCTAAAACATAAAAACGTTTCAAAAATAAAAGTGTTATGAAAATAAAATAAAAATGAATAAAATAAATAAAATTTTACTTAAAGCATTATGAAATTTTGGTTGAAAAATATGGAAACAACTTAAAATACTTCAAAATATTACGAAACACTAATATAAATATGTCGACACTTGAAAACATTAAAATTTTAATTCAATCATTGATTTAT